CCGGTGGCCTAGGCGATCTTGGTATTCGCTGCCCAAAGAACTATTTTACTAATTACACAACTGCGGAACAAAGCATTTCAAACACTTCCTTGCAGGCAACCTTGGTATTGGCTCATTAGATTATTATAGTTATCTGAATCACAGTGGTTGTTATAAAATCGATGGTACGGATGACGCCAAAGAATTCAAGCAGACCTTGGTATGTTTTGTTTGTAAGTTTGATACTTCCACTACGAGGAAGTTTCGGAAAGCATTCATCCTGGGATAGCTTACTGCACAAATTCATTTGCTCCAACTTCGATCACTTCGCCAAACACATTTTGGTTCATTTAAAATAACTGGAAAAGATGGCTCAGTAGCATCCACAGTTTCCGAATAAGCTTCCGCAGTAGTCCTTAATTTTGACTTGTTTTACAGCAAGTTGGACTTTATCTTATTTGACACCTTTCATTTACGTGATAATGTGCATTGTTTGGCTTTTCCCATAACTTCAGCATTTCTTGCTTCATAGCCTTCTTTAGCTTTCCGTTGATGATTTTGACTCTTTTGGCTAAGTTTTACGTGCCTTTGGCTGAAATTATATTTCTTTTAAGTTTGCTGTGACTATATTTCATGCAGATATGCTAAGTTACCCGTCTTCTGAATTAAAAATTTTTGTTTTATCGACTTTGCCTCCTTAGTCCCGGCATTTCACACGATCATGTCCTGTTGTTCAGCACGCGATGGAGGTAATTGGCATAGATGTGGAATCGCAGATGCAAATTTTGCAACTTGTTGCCGCTATAATGCATATTGGAAACATCACTTTCACTGAAAACAACAATTTTGCGGCAGTGGCTGACGAGCAGTGTGGGGAATTTTGGTTATTTCTGTAACACTCAAGAGCAGTAAAAACACTGAATAACCTCTTCTGCGTTCCTCCTCATGCCTGCTTATCTATGTTGAAGCTTTGAAACGAAATGGACTAACTTTAAAGAATGACTTTTGAGTCATTACGAACTGATCTGCATGGATTTGGAATAACTAGGTATGATTAGCTGAAAGTAAATAAAAGTGAAGTATAAGAAACAGCGTTTAGAAATAGCAATACGAATAGAGGTAAGAAGGAATTAAAATCATTCATGCAAATGTATGTATGAATGAAAATAATTGGCGACTTGCAGCAGGCGGGCCCGTGCGATCATGTCTTTTTGCAGTATTTCGTGTTGTTGTAAGATCGCTTGGAAACCCAGTAGCTAGAATTTGTGACATACTGGTCCTTGAAGTTGAGAAACTTGGTTGTGCAACTGCATGTTACTTTGGCAAGGAACATTTCTTTAAAATTTCAACTTTCCAACATTTTGGGTCTCTTTTAGCAATTTTCTCGCCGTAAGTTTCATATGGCCGCACGTGACCTGTGGACGTAACTGGGGGCTGAGTTTGAAATCTTTATGTTACACATGCGTTGGGAACATCCCCTTAAAATTTCAGACTTCCAGCTTTCCCGGTTCCCGAATTAGCCGTTTTCCCGCCAAAAAAAATTTCCACGGAGCCGTACATGAGAACCACGCACGCTGAGGGTCTGAATTTGAAATCTTTGAATTCTGTGTGGACTGGGAACATAACCTTAAAATTTCAGCTTTCTAGCTTTTCTGGTCCCCAAGTTAGCGATTTTCCAAAACTTTCATCCTATCGTACGCGGAACCCAGATCTGTGTGAGGGTTAGGATCGCGGTCCTGTGGTGGTACTTGGCCAGATAACCCAGCAAAATTTTGACGCCAGAGCTTGCTTGGTTGCCGAGTTGCAATACCCAGACAGATACATACAAAAATAGCGGGGCCAACACAATATGCGTTTTGGCTTTGCGTAAGCAAAAACGCATAACAACTATTTATAACTGTAACATCAAAGATAAGGGCGTTTCGCTTAAATACATCTTTGTTTTTCCTCACCTTTTTTGTTTATTTTCTTTTTTATGATTTGCTCAAATTTGCTGACTTCAATTCTGCTTTGTTCACAGATGTTTTAGTTTTTCTCAGCTCAGTGTAGTAGTTCCATTACTACCGACTTTATCCCATTTGCTGTTTTGCCCCTCGTATCTAGGTTTCTGTAAAAGTTCAGTGAATGCAAGCTGTACTCGCAATGACATTTCGGGGAAGTAGGTTGGGGAAATTTTTGTGCCATTTCCCTTGTTATTTTTTTGTTTTTGGAATTTGTTGCTTAGACCTAGGCAGAATTCTCGTTAGGTATTACTGGTTACCTTTGTTTAGCAAAGATTCTCCCTGCACTTTTTCAAAAAAAGCAAGTGTCACTTCTGATGAAGTCAATGAACTTTCAGCATTTTTTGTGAGGGAAATTAAAGAACTTTCGGCGAATTAAAGGGCAGGGCGTCTGGTGAAAATACTGTATTTGGTGAAAAATATTGCATTTGGATCCCACATCTGATGAAAATACTGTGTCGTCACAGAAATTTGGATCTCACCTTTTCGTAATCATTAAGGTTAAATAAATTTTATTAGAACCAGAATGGACAAAGACCAGTCATCAAATAAAAAGGTTTACTTGTTGCCTTGTCTAAAGATTTTTGCAAAATTGGCGAGCTTCTCTAAACGTATAATTTGAATTGGCAATGCAAAAGCTAGCATTATGACAAGTAGACGTGCGCATACTGCAACTTCCGACAACAGCTGTTTCAGTTTTGGAGTTCCCAGCTTATTTGCTGGGACTGAAAGCGTCTGCAATCCGTGAGAAGTTAATTAGTCGACATATGGAAAGTAAATGGGGCAAGCAAACAGAGCAGATCAACGTGACGCTGAATGTCGAGCAAGCTGAGTTCACGCGTGACGCCTGGACGAAAGATCTGTACGCTCGCTTATTCGACTTTTTGAGTTAGTTCCTATGCACTCGTGTTGTGATGATATTTGTTATCACTATTTTTTTGACTTGCACTGCAAACGATTATGGTTGTAGTTGCATCAGTGAATCAGGGAATGAGGATCTCATCGCGACTATCTGGGATGCCATTGTCCATCGGTATTCTCGATATCTATGGCTTTGAAATATTTGACAACAATGGCTTCGAACAATTCTGGTATGTTTAAAATGCCTATTTGTTTGCGATTTCGTTACGGATGGCAGTACGTTCACTGGGAAGATCTGACCAAACGGGTGAATTCACGAACAAAAAAATTGCTCATATCAAAGAAAGCCGGAAAGTGCAACTTGCATATCAGATATGGTTGGGCCACTATTTGCGCATAATAATTATTTTTAGCATAAACTTTGTGAACGAGAAATTACAACAAATCTTTATTGAATTGACGCTAAAGGCGGAGCAGGAAGAATATGTCAGTGAAGGCATCCGATGGACGCCAATTCACTTTTTCAATAATAAAGTGGTCTGCGATCTGATTGAGGCACGAAAACCGCCAGGTACTTTCTACGATTTATGAAGAAAATTTGTTTAGCACTGCGACTTCTACAGCCTAGAAATCTA